GGTTTCTTTGTATAACAGCCCTGGCTGTCCTGGTCCTGGAGCTCTTTTTTGTTTGTTTGGTTGGTTTTGTTTTTCAAGACAGGGTTTCTCTGTGGCTTTGGAAGCTGTCCTGGAACTCACTCTGTAGACCAGGCTGGCCTCAAACTCACAGAGATCTGCCTGCCCCTACCTCCCAGTGCTGGAATTAAAGGCATGCACCACCATGCCCAGCTAAGACCTATTCTAATAAGCTAAAAAATAAATATTTAAAAATATTAACTAAGCAGGGAATGGTTGTGCATGCTTGGTTGTGATGGTTGAGACAGGAGGAATGGTCTGGGTTCAAGACCAGCATGAATGAACTACATTAAAAAAAAAAAAAGGTTTTCTTCAAAAAATAAGTTGTATCAACAGGCAGATCTCTGAGTTTGATGTCAGCCTGGCCTACAGAGTGAGTTCCAGGACAGCCAGGGCCACAAAAGGAACCCAGTCTTGACAAGTAAAAAATAAAAGCATGGGGTTGGGCTGGAGAGATGGCTTAGAGGTTGAGAACATGGGCTGTTCTTCCAGAGGTCCTGAGTTCAATTCCCAGTTCAGAACCATCTATAAGGACATCTGGTCCCCTCTTTTGACCCATAGGCATACATGCATACATAACTGTATGCATAATAAACAAAGCTTTGAAAAAAAAGCCAAAATTTGTTTCAGATATGTTTATTTTACTATTTTATGTATATTAGTGCTTAGCCTGTATTGTGTGAGCACCATGTGTGCAAGTATCAGCCCAGCCTGGTACAGAGTGAGTTCCAGCCCAGCCTGGTCTACAGAGTGAGTTCCAGGCCAACCAAAGCTATATGGTGAAACTCTTTCCAAAGAACAAAACCTAATAATACCAGTCATAAATCTTGGCTGGATATCTGGTATTGCAGAATGTTGTAGAACATCTTCCACAGTTTCCAGAGCCGATAGATATTTTGATTTCATAAGCAATGCTGAGATCACCACTTCACATAAATACATACGGCAAAATGGCAAAAGTATGTTTTAGGGCCGATTCAGACATTCCTAGAAAGTTTTCTAATTCCATCAAAATTCATTTAATGATTTTCAATTTTTAAGCATTTGTTAAAGCATAAATTGATCACATGTTGACCATATTCTTTGTTTTTAAATAAAACACAAAACAACTGTAAAGGGAATTTTTATATGTGTACAAATGCATATGGGTTGGGTGTGTGTGTGTGTGTGTGTGTGTGTGTGGAGGCCAGGGAACTACATTGAGTGTCATTACTTAGGAGCCACCCACCTTGCCTTTTGACAGTCTCTGGCTCACCTTAGTGGTAGGCTAAGCTGGTTGGCCAGTGAGCATCAGGGAATCTGCCTGTCTCTGCCTCCTTGCTGTCAGATTTACAAGTACATGTCACTGAGCCGGCTGCTTGTGTGCCACCCTCCCAGACCTCAAACAGTGATGTTTCGGTCAGACATTCTCATACATCCCAGAGACACACTGTAATACTCACATGCTGAGAAATGGAGACAGGGAAACGTGGAGCCTTTGTGTTTGTGATTAAACTTAACGAGTCTCTAAAAACAGGAAACTTCGTGTATGCAGTAATAACCTCGAGATTCATAACATACAGTAGTCTCAAATCTGAGCTAAAGCTTTTGGAGCAGCACTGGCTGGCGTGTGGTATGATGGGTGTGAACAGTACAAAGTGTTCCTTTTGGGTGTTCACACCTGGGGCTGCAGCAAATGTGTCTGAGGAATAACACCTTGGATTCATTACAGGTTTGATTTTGAAGTAAATTTTGTTTCTATCCATACACTGACCTTTCTGGCCAAAATTTTCACAGCTCCACATTCAGTTCTGTCTATGGGGGTCAAACCCTCAGTTTAAGAAGCTGGGGTTCAGTTAAAGAATGTGATCCAACCTCTTCATAAAGGTATCTTTTCCTCTTGCTAAGTCAGCAACCTGCAGATGTGTGTGTGTGTGTGTATCTGTGTGTGTGTGTTGTCTGTCTGTGTATGTATGTGTGTATGTCTGTGTGTGTGTGTAGGTAAGAGGTCAATTTCTGGGGTCATTGTCTATTGCTCCCCACCTTATTTGGACCTGGAGCTCTCAGACTATCCATAGTGGCTGACCAGTGAGCCCAGGAACCCTCCTCTCCCTCAGCCCTGGGGTAACAGACACATGACACCACATCCAGCTATTTATGTGGGTGCTGGGGACCCAAACTCGGGTCCCCATGCATGGCAGACACCTTACCAACTGACCACATCTTCAGCCCCAGCAGGGGACGCTTTGAGAGAAAATTAACCTCCCATTTCTGAGAACCCCTACTCACAGAGTTAGTGTCACCAGTGACCCTGATCTACACCTGCTGTTTAAACACATCACACCAGCTTGCCCCACAGCTCTATTAGGTCCAGGAGGACCTGGAAGGTTAGTGCAGTACACTCTGGGCATTTCTGTGAGGATTCCCAAAGCCAGGGAGCACTGTCCCCAATGTGAGTGGCAGTAGCCATTGCGATGTCATCCAGAAGGAGATGCCATCAGCCAGGCATCTGTCCCTGGTGAGCAGCTTCCCCCATGAGTGCCTGCAGCCTCACCACGGACTTAGAATGGAGGGAGGCATGGGCTATGACCTCTGACACTGTGAGCTAAAGTAACCCTTTCCCGTTGAAGATACAAATACTGGGCAAAATAACATCACAGTGACTGCTGTGGAATCGGAATCCACTAATCCCAGTTCTTTCTCTGTGTGCACGTGCGTTCATGTGTGTGTTCACGTGTGTGTATGCGTGTGTGTGTGTGTGTGTGTGTACTTGGAGATGCATGTGTGCATACATGTGTGTGTACGTGTGCCTGTGTGTGTGTGTGTGTGCGTGTGCAGTGCCTGTGGAGGCCAGAAGAGGGCACCTTTGAAGCTGTAGGAACAGGCGTTTGTGAGCCACTTAATGTGGATGCTCTGTAAAGACTGTGTATGCTCTCTAACAGCTGAATTATCCCCCTAAGCCCCATGGAGTTGCTTTTTAAGGAGCAATTTTAGTTTTAGATTTAGAGAAGAGAATTAAAATGTGAATTTTTTCCATCTCACCCCCCAAACCCACAAATTCTTTTGTTGCTAACATCTGGCCAGTATAGTGTGTTTGTTAAGGATGAGGCACCAATATCAAGGCATCAGAGGTTTTTGTTGATTAGCTTTTGAGACAGGGCCTCACTATGTAGTCCCTAGCTTGCCTAGAAATCTTTGTGTAGCCCAGGCTGCTCTTGAACTTGTGACAGTCCCCCTACCTTTGCATCCCTGGCTGACTATTATACATCAGGGCTCATTCTGTGCATTGCACATTCTTTGGGTTCTGACAAACAAAATGGCACCATTCACCGTGAGGGCGTCATCTGGATAGCCTCACCCCTATAAAAATTCCTTATTCATTCATAAAAATTCTCTGCCTGCCCATTCCTGTTTGTGTCCCTCAGTCCCCTGCCAGCCACTGATCTCTTGTCTTTGTTTTGTTTTGATTTTTTTGAGACCCTTTGTAGCCTAGACTGACCTCAGGCTTTCAGTGGTGCCCCTGCCCCAGCATCCCAGCGGTAAGATTACAAGTGTTGTCTCGATAGCTTTGTCTTTCCTTGACTGTCATACAGCGGGATCTGTGGAGCCTTATTACGTGGACTTCTTTCTCTTACGTGTTTACAAATCTTCCTGTGTCTTTTTTTCATGGCTCTGTAGCTCATTTTTGTTTATCTCTGTCTGACTGGGTTGTGGTGGCACACGCCTTTAATATCAGCACTAGAGAGGCAGAGATAGGTGGATCTCTGTGAGTTCCAGGCCGGCCTGGTCTACAAAGAGTGTTCCGCGAATGTCAGGGCTGTTACACAGAGAAACCCTGTCTTGAGGAAAAGAAAGAAAGAAAGAAAAAGAAAGAAAGAAAGAAAGAAAGAAAGAAAGAAATCCCCTCTCTGTAGCAGTGTCTTTATGCGTTTGCCTACTGAAGGCCATCTTGGCAACTCCCAAGCTTGGGCTGTTGTAAGTAGAGGTGCTATCAATTTGGTGAACACAAGATTGCACCTCAACTGGTAAAAACCAAGTTGCTCCTTGCATAGCAGCAGTATATTCACTTTTCAGAGGGTGCAGGGCTAAGTGGGCCTGGTGGTGCACAGCTGTCATCCCAGCACTTGGGTGGCAGAGTTCATAATAAACCACTTAGACAGTGAGTTCGAGGACAGTCTGGGGTCTCTAAAACAAAGACTGACAGAGCGGAATGTCACCCTTCTCTGTACACCTGGGTTTGTCCCTGTGAGTGACTGCCTGAGTAGCTGAGGGACATGGGCTTGGGGGCGATGAGGGCTTGTCTGTGAGCGTCCTTTTCCTTGCCTGTCTACTGTTCTCAGCCCAAGCCTCACCCCTTGGGGGAGTGAGCACCTAGCAGGGCTAGGGCGCGGAAGGAGAGCAGAGCGGGCGAAACCCCGCCCCTCCCTCGGGTCTCACCGTGCCTCCACTCCACTCCACACAGGCACCCTTGGCAGGACTTGGGGCGCGTCAGCGTATGGGGGGGGGTGTGCGTATATACACTGGTGTCCTGGGTCTCTGTGTGCTCTTTTTTTTGGGGGACTGGCCAGAGGAGATGATGAGAATCGTGGCCCGGGCTGTCTATACAGGGGCCTGGCAGTTCTCAACAGGCCCTGCCTCGCCCCTTTGGGCTTCAGAGTTAGAGGCCGGAGTGGTGAGGCACTGTGAGGTCCACAAGCTCCAGGAAAGCACTAAGTGGGTGTGGCCTGATCACTGCTGCCCTGCTCAAATGGTACCTGAGGAGCGGTCCTAACTCAGGATGTGGTTTTCTCCATCATAGACAAGTCTGGGGGTTTCACAGTTATATTGGTAGTCCCGAAAACCAGGTCTGAGAGCCAGCGCAGGAGCTGGTAGGGGTGGGGATGGGTCTGTAGCTAGTCTCAGAAGTAAGGCGGGGCTCTGAGGTCCCTGTGACCAGACCTCTGCCCTGTTTCCTCCGTTCTTAGGTGGTACAAGCTGCACTCCAAGCCTGGCAAGAAGGAGAAGGAGCGTGGTGAGATCCAGGTGACCATTCAGTTCACACGGAACAACCTGAGTGCCAGTATGTTCGACCTGTCCATGAAGGACAAGCCCCAGTCTCCATTCAGGAAGCTCAAGGAGAAGGTGAAGGGCAAGAAGAAGTATGAGCTGGAATCTGCCTCAGCTATTCTCCCAAGCAGCGCCCTGGAGGACCCCGAGCTGGGCAGCCTGGGCAAGATGGGCAAAGCCAAAGGTTTCTTCCTCCGCAACAAGCTGCGCAAGTCCTCACTCACACAGTCCAACACCTCGCTGGGCTCTGACAGCACCCTGTCCTCTACTAGCGGCAGCCTGGTCTACCAGGGCCCTGGAGCCGAGCTGCTCACCCGCTCACCGAGCCACAGCAGCTGGCTGTCCACTGAAGTGGGTGAGCAAGGGAGAGGGTGGGTTCTTCCCAGGCGGCAAGGAAGGCCTCGGGCAGAGGCGGGGCTCTTCTTTCCAAGTGCTGACACGGTACGGTACGTCTTTCTTTTCCAGGCAGGGACTCTACACAGTCCCCCAAGCTGCTCACCCACAAGAGGACGTACAGCGATGAGGCCAGCCAGCTGCGTGCAGCTCCTCCCCGGGCCCTTCTTGAGCTACAAGGCCACCTTGATGGTGCCTCCCGCTCTTCTCTCTGTGTGAATGGGAGCCACGTGTACAACGAGGAGCCTCAGCCCCCCATGCGGCACCGCAGCTCCATCTCAGGCCCCTTTCCACCCTCAAGCTCCCTACACAGTGTCCCGCCTCGGCCTTCTGAGGAGGGGCCTCGGTCCTCAGATGACTCTTGGGGCAGAGGCAGCCGAGGCGCCAGCAGCTCGGAGGCAGTGCTTGGACAGGAGGCACTGAGCGCTCAGGCCAAAGTGCTGGCCCTGGGGCCCAGTTGCTCTGGAGAGGAAGAGGGCACCCGGCCTCCAGAGGGTAAGCCAGTCCAGGTTGCCACACCCATGGTGGCATCCTCTGAGGCTGTGGCAGAGAAGGAGCGGAAGCCCCGCATGGGGCTTTTCCACCACCACCACCACCATCACCAGGGCCTGAGCCGAAATGAGGTGGGGCGCCGCGGCTCAGTTGGAGAGAAAGGGAGTCCTTCTCTGGGAGCCTCCCCCCACCACTCATCCACTGGGGAAGAAAAGGCCAAGAGTAGCTGGTTTGGCCTGAGAGAATCCAAGGAACCAACTCAGAAGCCCAGGTACATATTTAATGAGGCTGCTTTTCTGTCTGGAGGAGGTTGGGTGTTTGGCCTGGGCCTGAGGCTGGAAGGAGCAGGCTGTCTGAGCTCTAGCTTTGCATGGTTAAGTGGGGTACCCTGTCTTACCTGAGCCAAGGCCCATATTGTGCCCTCTGACACAGGTGAGTTGCAAGGACATAGAGCCACAAGGGTCCCATGGGTCAGGGCGGGCCCAGGTCCTGACGCTTGGGTTGGTAGTACATCTTCTCGGTTTCCTGGCCTCCATCTCTGGCTTCCTCACCTTAAGTAAGGAAGCCTGGAGACTAGAGACTGTGCCTTCAGACACCTTACCCTGTCTAAAGCTGGATGACTTCCCCTGGCTGCCCACTTGGCTCTGGAGTCTTGTTTCCCTGAGGGACAAGAGCTAAACAGTTGTTCATGCATCCTTCCTCTCCTCCCCTAGTCACTTCCTAGCCTGGAAAGAGACCGTAGCACCCCCCCCCCTTGAAATGAGTCTCCCCACAAAAGCCTAGTGTTCCTATTTTTTTAAAAAAATATTTATTTATTTTTATGTGCATTGGTGTTTTGCCTGCATGTATGTCTGAGAGGGTGTCAGATTCCTTGGAACTGGAGTTACAGACAGTTGTGAACTGCCATGTGGGTTCTGGGAATTGAACCCATGCCCTCTGGAAGAGCAGCCAGTGCTTAACTGCTGAGCCATCTCTCCAGCCCTGGCCTAGTGTTTCTTGAGCCCTTTTGGGAGTGCTGGTGACTCTGCTCTGTTGGGAATGTGCCCAGGCCTCTCTCTCCCTTGGTCCTGGTCTCTGGGCCCCATCCCATGTTACTCCAACTCAGGGCCTCCTCGGTATTGTTTGGCAGGGCCCCAGGAAGGCTGTCCATGGGCAGGTCAGAAGTCTGTCCTGGTGCCTAGCAGTGGTGGCAGTCACACCTAGTGTCTCCCCTCATCAAGCCTGCCTCTCCCATTCCCTGGGTGTAGGGAAGGCTGGGCCAGGCCAGTGAAGATGCTGCTCCTGTTTTCCCAGCAGAGGGGAAGGGGCTGGACCTTACAGCTCTAGTTTCTCTTCGAGTTTCCTTCTGTCTCCGTTTTCCTTATGCTTCTCTGACTCCTAGCAGCCTCTCAGACTGCAGAAAACGTAGGTCTTTGATTGACAGAAGGTGGAGAGGATTTCTTTCCTGGCATCATCACAGGCCAGGGTACCTAAGCACCCTGCCTGCCTGCCTGCCTTGGGCCATTGGTAGGTGGCAGCTTCACAGCAGGCTTTGGATCAAGACCCAGGTAGGGCAAGAGGAGCCACCTTCGGGGACCGTGAGCCCCACCCAGCTCCCGCACTGGAACCTTGGGTGGCTGTAGCAGAAAGGAAAAGCTGGCCCAGGAGGAGCAGTTGTTGGAATGCTTGTTCAGAGTGCTAGGGAGGAAGCTGAGAGACAAGACCTTCAGGTTACAGCTGGAGGATCTATCTCTACCTGGAACCCGGAGAGCCAGCCCACAGGCCCTGGGGCTTGGGACCCCTGTACCCAGGGGCTACTGTCACAAGTCCTGGAAGTTTGAGTAAGTGCAGCAGCGCCCTCTAGTGACTCCGTGTGGCACTTGTGCTCCGTGGAGAGGCTTGAGGCAGTGAAGTAGATTCAGTAGCTGCCAGATGACCCTGGGCCTTCTGAGGGGGTCTGCCTCTGTTGACATGTGGCTGTTACCCTTGATCCCTACTGATGTGAGCCTGAGAGGGAGGGGTCGGCATGGGACTGAGCCTCACCTGGGCCACAGGACCTGCTGAGCCACTGGTGTTGGTCTGTGGCATGATTGTGCCCTGGGCTTGAGGTAAGATGGCCATACATGTTAGGTCTTCCTGTGCCAGGGTGCCTTGAGTTTTGTTCCTTTTTCTCACAGCAGCCTTTGAACACAGACAGGGATCAGATACTAATGTAGAAATATATTTAACTTGGGGGTAAATCTGGTACAGCATAGAGCCAGGGGTGTTAGTAGATGGCATTTAGCACTTTGGTGTCTGCCCAGCTCTTTCCAAGGTATGGTAGACAGGTATCTGGTGGTTGTAGAAAAGTGGGTCGTCTGAAGTGCCCTCTGGCCGGTGATAACATATTTCCTGGCCCATCTGTGGCTGTTTTCCCAGGTGGTTACTCTGTTAGCAGTGATCTGGTTTGGAAGATGATGCTAGGATCTCTACTTAAGCTTAGAAGGCTTCTCTATGTCTCCTCATTTGTCACCCTCATATGATAAGAGGATGAGCATACCTCCTGGACATGTTTCCTGGGCATTGGGGCACATCTTAGCAGGTGCCAGGAGCTTCCGAAGCCCAGGAGGGATTGCTGGCCAGGGGAACATTGTCTATAGGTCAGATAGTGTCTCAAAGGCTGGCTTTAACCTTTGAGGACTGGTGGGAAGCCTTCATCATTTCTCTTCCCAATATTTGGCCTTGAGGGAGACAAACCAGCATACCTCCTACTTGGGAGGGGGAGGCTGTGCCAGGCTGGCTGGGTGGGCTCCTGGGTGCAGGCGTGTTCACAGGGCACGGCCTCCGCAGAAGACCACACAAAGGAATGCGCTTCTGCTGCCCTATGCCATGTGCACTGCAGGGCAGGAGCAATGACCTCCAGAATGCGTGCTTGAACGCGGTAGGGGTGGTTCAGCTGTTAAAGGCTCGGCTCACTACCAAAAGAGTGTGTGTTTGGCATGGAGTAGGGTGAAGATGAAGATGGAGGGGCTCTGAGGGCGAGAACAGGCAGGGTATTAGCAAGCCCCGCTGGCTCTGGGAAACCTGCTGGGCCTGCTGCCTAGAACCCTGGCCTCAAGAGAGAGCCCTTTGCTGATGCCATACCAACCAGTTTGTGGTGCATCTCTGGGGAACCATGGTGGAGAGGAGGCTGCTGACAGAGCCTGGGGCTCCTAGAGGTGCTTCCTGGTGCCTTTGTCCCTGAAGCCTGACTGTGAGCCCGAGGGTGAGTGCGTGCGTGCTTGCGTGCGTGGGTGCATGGGTGCGTTCATGTCTGTGTCTGTCAGGCAGGCCCGCGTTTGCGAGGCTGTGTTGCTCAGGGTTCAGAGCACCCCGGCACTGTTGTGGGATGTAGGTTGGGTGCTATGGATGCCTCAAACAGGGCTATGACCAAGTGGTGGCTAGTGTGTTGCTTCTTTACTCCCCTAACTTCCAGGACTAGATCTGAGCCTCTGCCTTGGGACCTGCCTGGAGGGCAGAGGAGACATCTGTGGGAGCTGGGACCCCAGGCACAGAGTTCCCCCTTTCAGTACCTTCCCCTGTCTGTAGCAGCAGAGCGGGGAGCTGGAGGTGGGCTGGGACGCGGGACTTTGCCTCCCTTCCCTCTCCATCTCAGTCTAGAGACTCCGCCCTCCAGCGTGGTTGGTGCTGTTCTAGGGGGAAAATAAGCTCACAAGAATCTTTGAAAGCTGGGCTTTTAAAAAATTACTTTATTGTTTTATTTGGAGGCAGGGTCTCACCCTGTAACCTAGCTGCGCTGGAGCTTGTTATGTCGACCAGCTGGCCTCAACTCAGAGAAACCCTCCTGCTTCCTAGTGCCTCTGCCTCCCAAGTGCTGTATAAGTCGAGTGCCGCCAGGCCGAGCCTTTGCTATTATTATTTTTTTCTTTCTAAAGGCAGGGGACTCAACCTATCACAGATTGCCTTTGAACTTGCTGTACATCTTGAGGGCGACCTTGGTCCTGGTCCTTCCTCCCCAGTGCTGGGATTATGGGCCTGTGCTACCACACCTGGTCAGTGCAGTGCTGGGGACGGAGCCCAGAGCTTCATGCATGCTGGGCCAGCATGCTGCCGAGAGTCATAGCCCCAGGCTCCTTTAACATTTTTGGCGTATTACGACGGGGTGTCGTGTAACCCAGGTGCGATGACACCCTGCCTCCCATGGGGTGTACACCACCGTGTTCAGCTCTGAAAGCTAGATGGATAGGAAAATCTGTCCTGCTGGGGAGGCTGACCTCCTCCTCCGTGCTGGTTTTTGTGGACCTGGACTCTTTCCTGTTGCCTATCAGGTCCTGTGTACAACCAGTCTGGTCTAGCCCTTGAGTTCCTGGGAGAGTGTGGCAAGCTCCAGACAGCCCAGCCTGTGCCCCCTGCTGCAGCTCCCCATGTTTTCATGCCCCAGCTCATCCCCCAGTGCTGTCGGTGAAGTTGCTGGTTGAGTGGGAGAGATGGATAGGAGGAGGTTCCCTGGATGCTCACGTTTATGTAGGAGGGCCCCGGGAGCTTGGAGAACTGAAAAGCCACCTGTGAGGAGGGACCGACCCTACTGGATAGCAGGGGTGAGGCCATCAAAGTCGGGGTCTGATTGCAAGTCAGGCCCCTGCCAGTCTGCTCACACCAGAGCATTTGGCTGGCTTCTCTCTTGTTGTGTTCTAGATTAGTTCAGTGTGCGCTCCTCTGTCTCAGCTCCAGAGGCCGGCTCACAACAGGGGTAAAAGGAGCGTGCTGTCTGCTGGCAGTGGGCGTGCCCAGCAGATGCCATGTGCTCCTTAGCCAGTTTTCTGCCCCCTTCTCGTGAAACGAAAGGGGCGAGCTCTCTTGGATACTTTGTCATACATACCTGATGGCAGCCCCATCCTTACCCCTTCCTGCAAGAGCTCAGTGGAGCCTAGCTCAGTTTGCAATCCCAGGCACCCTGCTTGGTTTCCTTAATGCTCTTTGTCCCTGAGCTCTCCCAGCATCCTTCCCCTTGGAGCCTCATAACACTGGGGCCTTCCTTCATTTGGTCCTGTGTGATGCTGTGGCACCCGGCCTGGAGGTGGGGGTAGGGATGGTACTTGGCAGGGGTATTTCCAGGCTCAGCATTAACCAGGAGGCTCACGGTTTTGTCTTCTCCACAGCCTGGACGTGTCTCCTCAGGTAGAATCTGACCCAGCCGCTCCTCCTCACCCCTGCTCCCCCCTCCTCACTCCTGCTCCCGCCGCCGCTGCTCCCATGCTAAGCACTAACCTTTTTGCAGCCACCTCCCCTGCTGCTGCCACTGCCACTGCTGCCACCATTGTCCCTGAAGCCACCCCATCCGGATTCTTGGGGGTCAGCAACCCATTCCTCACCTCCTTGCAGAGCAACCCCTTCTTCGAGGAGCTCAAAGCCGACATAGCACTAAATTCTCCTTCACCTGCTCCCTCTCTCCCCAGTGCCTCGAGGGCCAGCCTGGCCCCCCTGGCCTTCCCTGGGAAAGCCCTACCTGAGTGGGACGACACCTTCGACACCTTTGCTGCTGGCAGGCTGCAGCCAGAGGCGAGGAGTGAGATTCTGGCCCCTGCAGAAGCGGGGCTGGAGGAGGATGGGCTGCAAGATCCAGGCCCTGGGACCATGGCAGTGAAAGCCCCAGAGCCCCAGAGAGAACCTGGGGGAGGAAGAGGTGGGAGCAGCATGTGGCTGGGGCCCAGTGTGCCTGTGGACTCAGGACTGAACCAGCCAAGCACAAGCGTGTCTGACCCAGGACCCCTTGGGTCTTCAGGGACTGACCCATCCTCCAGAGCAGCCCATTTGCAGCTGCGAGCCTCAGCCTCAACACCAGACCCAGAGCTTCCTGCCTCAGAAGTGGGCGTGGGGCAGAGCCCCGCAGACAGCGGGGCATCTCTGGTCAGCTCCCCAGAAGTCCTCAGTGTGTGGGAGAGACTTCCTGGTTCAGATGACATTCCTGGGGGCCAGGACGAGGAGACTCCCCAAGATGGAAGCCAGCTTTTCCAGGAGCTGAACGCAGCGGAGGATTCCTGGCCCTGGGATGTGATCACCATTTCTCCTACAGCAGAGGTTGCTTCATCCACCATGCAGCGAGAGGCCGAGGAGGCGCCTCCTCCTCAGGCGCAGCCTGAGTCCCCAGCTGCTGTGCACCCCATGGAGAGCGAGGGGCACCCTGCCCTGCAGCAGGAGCCAGAGCCTGAGCAGGGGTTGGATGAGGAGCCCTGGCCTGGCCCACCGCCTCCCAAGCCGCCACGCCTCTTCACACCCTCACAATCCCAGGTGGAGGAGGAGGAAGAGGAGGAGGAAGACCAAGCGGAGGAAGACAGTGCTACAGGGGGCCTGAGTAGTGGGGGGCCAGGGGTAGAAGGAGACACCGCCCCAAGTAAATTGGTTGTCGGTCCCCGAGAGTCCAAGGAGGAGGGGGTAAATCCAGAGTTGGAGGAATTGCACGACCTGCCCTCCGGGACCCTGATAGGTGAGCCGGAACTCGAAGAGCTGGTAGGCGATACTGGTGCTCCTGGGTCTGGGGCCTGCCCACCTAGTCCCACCAGCTGCCTTGAGGGGTCCACCCCCAGATCCCATAGCTCAACTAGCTCAACTCTGATGAGCCAGAAGGTCTGGGGGTCTTCAGATACAGGTCAGAGCCTTGAAACCCAGAGCCAGGAGCTAGCCAAAGAAGGGTTTGAGCCTCTCTCAGCCGCCCCTCAGCAGGCTGATCTGTGGGCCTCAGAGGAGGAGGAGGATGCCTTGAATCCCTTCTTATGTCAGGAGAGCCAAGATCCCCCCAGCCTCCCGTCCATATCCTCTGTCCACTCTGGCCCAGAAGAGTTGCCCACACCCCCGGAACCTGCCTTCCCACCTCCCCCTCTCCCACCCTGGGCCAGCCACCGCCATGGGGTGCCAGGCCCTCCATGCCCTCCCCTGCCTGTAGCCTGGCCCTTGACCTCTTCTTCCTCACCTCCCGAGGAGGAGTCAGCTTCCCTCACTGGTCCCCTTGAGCTCTCCCCCGCGGTGGGCTCCCCTACACCATACGGGGAAGACCTCGATGCAGCCACCCCAGCCTCCCCGCTTGAGCTTCTGCCCTTGGAGACACGACCAGCTGAGGAGCCCCAGCCCAGTGGCAGGTGAGCGTCCACTCAGAACCCCTCCCAGGAGGCAGGGGCGGGGTGGGGGCATGGAAACACGGACGAGTTTCACAGTCCAGCTTCGTCTTTGCCAAGGGTCTGCTCTGTTTGGAGGCGAGCGGTGAAGGCTTCTGTAGGGCTAGCACTGAAGCTCTTTATTGTACATAGGACCTTGCGCCATCAGGGGCCCCACAAGCCAGGGGTTTGGGAAATAGCACCTGCCAAGGATAGGGAGTGAGGTTCAGAGAGGAGTCAGCATGCCCTGGCAGGAGACGGGGTGGGGGGGTGGGGGGTGGGGGTAGGGGGGGCGTGAAAGCTGCAGTGCTGTACAGAGATGCCATGGTTCGGGGAGTGGTGTTCCACAGAGGAGTGATAGTTACTTCTCAGGCCTTGGGAGTGCAGTGGGCCCACAGCAGTTTCCTGTGAGGAAGCGGAGGGCTGGCAGAGGGTCTAGGACTCTGGCCTTAGAGGAAGCTGAAGACAGTCTCAGAACAAGGGAAGCAAGCCTTCCTTCAATGCTCTCCACACCCATAGCCCCTGGAAAAGGCTCTCCAGCTGCAGCAGGTGCCGCTCTGGCTTGCCTTGTGGTTGGTTTTCTGGGCCGGGCTCCCATCCCCCACCCGTTTAGGGCATCTGAAGGGAGAGCTGGTACCCGTGTGGCTGTGGTCTCAACAGCATTAGGTTTTGGCCAGAACAGAGGGCCACAAGGGTGACGAGAAGAGAGGGCTTGGGAACAGGCTTCAGTGAGTGTGGCTCAGCAAGGACAATGGCGCCCAGTAGGACAGCAGGGCGATGTATGAGCAGAGTGGCTGGGCCAGGTCAGGTGGTAAGGGTGGGGTGAGCCTCAGGAGCTAGCCCTGGCCTCTGTGAGGCCCCCAGCCTGCTTGGACACCTGCTGGCTCATATGTTCAGTTGCCCAGGGTTGCTGAGCATCTATCTGTTTTGTGCCAGGTGGGTGAGCAGGGAGATTTCAGTACCGGAAGCAGTAGGGCCTGGTGGTGACACCTGAGAAGCCTGGTCATGGAGGGACTTTGATCGCCTAGTGTTGGATGGGGCTGTGCCCCTCCCCCCCCCCACCATGGGGAGAAGGAGCTGGTGGCTATGGTTTTCTCATCTCCTGATGACAGAGTCTTCCTTTGGCCCATGTCTTGCAGTATAATCCCTATTTATGCTCACAACTTAACAGGATTCCTTTTCAGAGTTGCTTTGATTTCACGTCTGTATGGGGCATGACCTGTGAAGTGGCGGGCACATAGTGCTGTCCGTGTTTCTCAGATGAGTGGGGATCAGGCTGAGAACACGGCACTCCAGCTGCTTCCTGAGGGGTTACCTCCACGAGTCCAGGCTGGTGGCTTTTTAGACAGGCGGCCTGGGAGCCACTTTTATGCCTTCTCCAGTGCGGAACTCAAGGTGACAGGACTGCTCTGCCCTGTGAGGGGACTAAACACCAGCCCTGTCCTGAGGGTTGGCCTGAGCCTAATTCAGGGTTGAGACTAAGTGGCTTTGCTTCCCGTTCAGTGCCCTGTAGGGTGGGAGCGGGTTCATGAGGTTCCCCAAGGTCAGGTTGGCTGATTTGTAGGCCTGCTGCTTAGGACTTGCATATCTCGGTGCTAAGGCACCCCAGGAGAGGATTATCTTAGTTTTGGGGTGCTGTAGTAGGCTTCCTGGAGAAGGTGACTGCACATAGGTTTGAAATAGTAGTGAGAAGTAGGTTTTTGGAATGAAGGGAAGTACCCCAGGTAGAGAAATAACCTTCCTTCCTTCCTCCCTCCCTCCCTCCCTCTCTCCTCCCTCCCTCCCTCCCTCCCTTCCTTCCTTGTTTTGGTGGAGGGCTGTTATAGTTGAGACAGTTTTATCCAGTGGAGGCTGGCCTTGAACTCCTGATGCTTCCACTTGTGCTGTTTGTACAGGTGTGTGTCACCGTGTCTAGCTAGACACAGTTTTTGTAAGTGGCTGGCAGGGGTGGAGCTGTGGGTCAGGAGGTGCAGCCGAGGCCAAATTGTCTTAGAGTTTGTGATTCTACCTAGAAAGGAGCCATTATAGGAGCTTTCAGAATTGGAAGGCCATTATCCTTTAGCAGGACAGAGGGTGGGTGGGTGGAGGGCAGGTGCAGCTAGGAGAGGAGAGGATGGCCGAGGCAGAAGAGGACAAGCTGTAGGGCCTACCAGAGGGCTGCTGCTGGAAAAGGCAGGTGTGACTAGGTGGACCCCGGGGATGCAGCTGGCCTTGAGGTGACCACGGGGAGGCAGCTGGGGGAGATCTGGGGTGTCAGGAGGAGAGAGGAGAAGCCAGGGAGCTAGCAGCTTAGCCTGAGAAGAGGCTGGTAGAGGTCAGGACGTTAGCTTCAGGTCTTGAAGAAGACCAGTACGTAGCCGTGAGCTCTGAGAGACGAAGGAGAGGCCCCAGCAGGTTCACTTGGCCTGGGCTAGCAGCTCTGAGGCCTTGCCTTGAGTACTCCAGGAAAGTGAGAAGTTAGAAAGTATGAAGGCAGTCCCTAGGCTCAGGGCAGGGTTATGAGAGCAGGAAGGACCAAGGCCAAGGAGAGCTTTGCAGGCTTACCCCGAGGCTCAAGGCCAGCCACCAGCAGAGAGGTGAGGCAGCACCTGTTTTTAAACCCTGGCATTCTCGTACCCACAGTCTTGACAGTTGGGAAACTAAGCAAGTATTGAAGACCCGGGAAGGGAAATGGCTGGCAGAGACTGGATACAGGCACAGGAGTTTGTAGGTCGGTTGTCCGTGGGGGATTGAAGCGTGCAGGATGCTGGGCCCTGGAGACATCAACTCTTCGGCAGGTCAGGTGGCCATGCAAACTGTGACTCCACCTTTGTGCCAGCCTTCCCTCCCCGCAGCTCACCTCCTGTTTGTCTTTGCAGTCCCCACCCTGTGAAGCCCCTCAGCGCTGCCCCTGTGGAGGCCAGCCCCGACAGGAAACAGCCCCGCACCAGCCTGAGCACAGCCCTTAGCAGCGGACTGGAGAAGCTCAAAACCGTCACATCCGGCAGCATCCAGTCTGTGGTTCCAGCATCTCAGCTTGGCCCGACTGTGGACACTAAGAGGCTGAAGGTGAGGTCCAGCAAGGTGTTAGGAGGCACCTGAGAGAACAGGCAGCAAGTATGCTGGAGAGAGGCCAAGTAAGGTGCCAAGGGCGGGTCGGGGCAGGGCGGGGCGGGGCAGGTGGCAGGTGGCTGGTGGTTTCCCATGCCACAGCTCTGGAGTGGGGTGCCATATCTCTGGCCTTAGAGACGGGCTGCTGCAGAGTCTGAGTTCTACAGTGGGGAAACAGGCTTTGGTGGGCTAGCTGGTGGAAGGTCTGGGCCTCCCCTTCTTAATTCCATCTTGTTTGGCCATAGGAATCTGCTATGCTGGACCAGTCGGCCAAGTACTATCACCTGACTCATGACGAGCTCATTGGCCTACTCCTGCAGCGTGAGCGTGAGCTGAGCCAGAGAGATGAGCATGTGCAGGAGCTGGAGAGCTACATTGACCGGCTGCTGGTGAGGATCATGGAGACCTCGCCCACACTGCTGCAGATCTCCCCCGCTCCCCCCAAGTAGCCCTTCAGTCCGTCCCTGGAGGGCCGGTGAGGACCTGTGCAATGCCCTCCACTGACTACTCTCACCTGAGCTGGGCACAGCCTGCTCTCATGGTCACTCTCTGCACCCTTCCCCATTCCGCCTCCACCAGGGTTTCTGGAAGGGGCCCCTTTGAACTCCCACTAGAGCCCTGGGTCTTTCCTACCTGCCCGTTTCACACTTGTAGCTTCGGGGTCCCCTGGAAAATTGGAGCAAGGATGTTAGCTGTCAAGAGGAAGCAGGAGTGAGCTGTGGGCTTTGGGTAGAGCTGAGGTGTCTAAGGGCAACACTGTTGCCAGAACAGATTTAATCGCCCTATCCCTGAGGTTGGTCAGTTGTTTGTTCTTGGCTGACCCTTAATTAATCTCCATATCCCTCCCGCACCCGGAGGTCCTCCTAGTATTGAATGGGACTCGGATGGGGACGAAGCTGCTTGCTTGTCTGTGCACTGTGGACAACCAGGGCACCTACAACTCAACCTTGTGCCTGTACCCTAAGAGTAGGGAGCCTGTGTGTTTTAGTCTTCTCTCTCTCTCTCTCTGTCTGGGGCTGTGTGAGGAGCTTGTATACAGTGTGGTGGTGGTGGCGGCGGCGGCGGTGGTGGTGGTATGTGTCTTTGTGTTCTTCAGCTGCTCCCTGTCCCCTCTTCAGACCCTCCCACTCCATGTCCCAGTGGTGGGGCTGGGTTCAGGGAGAATGAGCTCTTTGCCTCCGAGCTTCTCCCTACCTCCCTAACATGAGACCCTCCAGTCTGGGGCTTTGGGCTGCTCATGTTTTGGGGATCAGGCCTCCATGTCTGTCGTTACCACTTGTCCAGATGCCAAAATTGTGCTACTGTGGGGTCAGAACTTTTGGAAACCAATTAAAATGTGCCTTTTGTGGGTGAGGACAAGAGCCTCTGGATGTAGACCTCTCTCTGGCCGGGGTGTCCCCTCCCTCCTGTTGAGCAAATGAAAGTGGCTGTTAGGGTCCTGAAAGGGGAATATGGACCAGGCTTTTTGCTTCCCTGAGAAGTACCTCAGCTAAGGCTCTGACCAATCTGCTGCTACCCCCTCAGTCTTCCTCCCACCTCCTGCTCCTCCCTTGACCCACATCCGGGCATCCTGTAAGCCTGGGGCTACCCTGCATCTCATTGTGTCTGGCGTTGGGTCCCAGCTGTGCTGGACCAGTGGGCTTGCCTGGGAGTGGGAGGCTTCACCCTGCCTTAGGAGACACCTATACTTAGGAAATGCCTGTGGCTCTCCAGCTGTGCTGTAAGCTGCTGTGCAGCCTCCTCCTTGCTCACCAACCCCTTCCACGTTTCCGGGCTTGGCTGAAGTGCATTTTGAAGCCAAGTATCTACCCTGTGGTCCAGCTTCTAGTTTGCTTGTGAATACAGCAGGTCGGTCTCCCATGGCACCCGCAGGGGCCCTTGGTGGCTGTGCATTAGCAAAACATGTGTGAAGGAGGCAGGATGCCGAGCAAGATGCTTTTGGTCCAGTGGAAAGGCAACAACTGTCTCTTAATGGCAGGGTCATGAGTTCACTCAGAACACCTCAGGAGGGTATGCTCTGTGGATGATATCACTGCCTGCGTAAAGTAGATGAACCCACAGTGCAGTTGCCAACTCTAGGTCAACCCAGAAATGAGGAAAAGTGGCCACCTGTTCCCAGAATCTTGACCACACTGGTGGGGGAGTGTCATTGCCATTGGAGAGTGCCTCTTGAGGAAGTGCATCCCTCTGGGTTTTATTTGGTCCCAGCCCTGGCCCTGCCTGGCCCTCGCCTTTCGCCCTGCCCTGCTGTGTGGCCAGGGCGGGGGGGGGGGGGGGGGGGGGCGTGTCTTAGGAGAGGTTCTGAACTGAAGCCAGGGTTTTGCTTGTGTCCGCTCCATACCACACAGTACGGAGTGCAGCGGGCAGGCAGTGAGTAGACACAGCTCTGCTCTGCCCTTTGTCTTCCTGGTTGAAACTCCTGTCTATAAAGAGCTTGTTCTTCATGTTTTGAGCACTTTATGAAGAATAAAAAGTCCGTGTACCACAACTGGCCTGGTGTGTTCCTGTTCTGAAGTGAGTGGGTGAAAGAGACTGCGGGAGAGGCCGCGTGTGTCTTGGGTGACTGAAACCATGGGCAATGCTGCCTAGGGTGCCTGTGTTCGCGGGGCCCTGGTCACAGGCATGCATTCGGTGGGGAATAAAGAGGGCAGAACTAGTGACTTCTGTTCTGAAGTCACGGAGTCTCTCCTCAGCTTTAGGGAGCTCTGTCCCTCCTGGCTCAGCTATCAGTGAGTGGATGAGCACTTGGGTCCCCTGTTGCTCATGCAGTGTCCAGGAGGACAGGAGGGCAACCCCAAGTTAGCTCTGAGCCCCATCATGAGACGGAGGCCTCCCTAGAATCAAGTAGTTATGTCCTGGGTGAGATGAGCATCTCCCCACCATCTATGCCAGTCAACTGGATTAGATGGCTGAGCTGAGACTATGGATGCCATAGCCCGCCATTTATTTCTGTGTGCTCTGTAGTTCCCAGTGAATCCCCGTGCCTGGTCCTCGACAATTAGGCTTAGGAGGGAACTTCCTTGGCCAAAAAAAAAAGTATTCTCATCCAATACATCAAGCTCCTAGTGAGCTCTCCTATACCTTCACTGAAGATTTATCTAACAACAACAACAAAAAAACCCAATAAACAATAAAACAAATCAACAACCCCCCCCCCCCCCCCGCGCTACAGTCTGCTAGCTGGCACTGTAAGACCCTCAGAATGAGGAGTCTCCCAGGTTCGGTCGGTACCCCAAGAACTCAATGTCCAGTCCAGTTGCTGCAAACAAGAGGCTTTAATGAACAGGAAACGTTTGCGCTCCTCCAGCACGCAGGCTAGAGAGAAGCCCCCTCCCCTGGGCCCAGGTGTTTTTAAAGGCAAACCCACAAGCTTAGGGAGGGGGTGGGACCCTCTGTCCATTGAGTACGTGACCCTTGGAGGCCGGATGGTCTGCTATTAGGGTCAGCAGACCTTAGGGCCTCAGAGTGTGCTATTAATCTTGTCTGGGCAAACCAGAGTTACAGCTATCTCTTTGTTTCCTAAGGACCCTATTTACCACCTGTTGACTCACAGGAAAGGAGGGGCAGTGTGAATTCTTATCTCAGGGCCTTGTGAGAGGAAGTTAGCAAATTCCAAGGAACAGATATTGGTTTCCAGGTCAGTCCATCATTAACATTACTTTTCGGTCTTTCAGCGCCTGTAATCCCAAAACTTTGGAGGCCCAGGAAGAAGAACCACGAGTTTGAGGCCAGCCTGTGCTACATAGTTCCAGGCTAAGCCTGATCTACATCCAACTAGGCACGGGAGTGCCACGTGGTGGCACAGAATCCTGAAGCGGATTTTGTGGGTGTAAGGTGATGGAATCCTTGAATGCTTAGGTGGAGCCTAGAAAAAGAACCGCATCAAGGGTCACAGCAGCTTGAGCGGGGCTTCTTGAAGAGAGTGGCAGAGCGACAGAATGGCTGGAGGCAGGGTTATGACAGAAGAAACCGCAGGGAAACCCCGCAGTGCGACTCCTTGCCGAAGGCCTTCTGAATTAACCCCACTCTTCCTGGAGCCCTTGCCTTTGTGATCCCGGGTCGGGCCCGCGTTTGTAGGAGGTTCCTGGTCTTAAGACTACGGGGCCGCCGAGTACACCCGCACCTACACACATCCCCAGCAAAGCCGATGCCTGCTGCTTTGGAGGCGGGAACCAAGACCAGGTCTGCGTGGTGGGTGGGTGCAGCTCTCCGCAGTCTGGGGTTGTCAGGCTCAGAGCTGGGGGGGGGGGACTACACTTCCCACAAAGCCCTGCGCGCCCCATTCTCTGCGGTTGCTCCCGGCCAATCGGGAGAGGCAACTGTGGCGGGGGCCGAGGAGGGACATTTTAAAAGGGCTGGAGATTGCGGGCGTCAGTGGCCATGGCGGACACAGCGACCACAGCCTCGGCGGCGGCAGCGGCGGCCAGTCCCGCAAACGCCTCCAGCGATGCGCCCCCTTTCCAGCTGGGCAAGCCCCGCTTCCAGCAGGTGAGACCCGGGCTGTGGCCCGCAGGTGGGAGGCAGGCACAGGGGAGGGGGTGGATGCCGAGCCAAGTCCCCTGCAAAGTCACTTGAGCCGGAGGGTCTCTAACCCGCGGCCCCCGGAGCCGACCGCTCGTGCGGGGAGCTGGGCTGCAGCCGCTCTATCCCCATTGGTCAGCCGGATGGGCGAGGTCTCCCACCGTGGCTTTCTATTGGCGGGCGGCGCAGTCACTCCGCGGATGCCCGCGCCCTGCCGCCGCCCCCGTCCGCGTCGCGCGGTGATTGGCCGCGCGGGTCGCGGGTCCCGGGTCCCGGGCCCCGGGTCCCGGGTCCGAGCGGCTCGGAAGGGTCGCTCTGGCGAGTGAGCCTTGGGCGCAGAGTTCCAGTCCCGCGCTGCTTGGGCAGTGGCGTGACCCGGGCGCCCCTCAACTTCTCTCCCCGAGTGGGACTGACCTTCCTCGTGCGCCGCGGGACAGGCGCGGGGCGAAACTCCGCGGTCACGCTCCGCCGGCTCCTCAGCCTCCAGCAGAGAGCTGCGTGCGTCCTAGGATGGGACCGCGTGCACCGGTGCAGCGACCCGATCCCCATCCCCGGGCCGCGGCTTCGGTGCCAACACCAGCCGGCCTGCCTGCTAGCGTGCTCTGCGGGGACGCGGGACGCGGGAGAGAGAGCCGGGTGCGGGGAAACGCTGTGTCATCCTCCAGAGCCGCCGCGCTCCTCCCGAGGGTCCCAAGCGCGACCCAGTCCCACACTCGTCGCTCCCAGGCGCTGCGCAGCGCCCCCCTCCCCATCCATACCCGTTCAGGCTCTTCAGGGTGCACCGGGACTCTGGTTAGCCTAACCCCCTCTCCCCACCTCCCCGGACACACAAACCCGGGAACCCTGCCTGGCATCACTAACTCGGCCATGGAACAGGAGATCCAGGTCTGTGAGCCAGGGGCCTGGGAGCGCATTTCCAACACCGCACACCCTCCGGCTGCTTCCAGAGACCGGGCTTGCCAGGAGTGGGGGGTAGCAGATGTTCTAGAGAGAACTTTGAACAACGAAGAAAGGAAATGCCACAAAGGTGGATGCGGTGGCTGGGGCGGGGGTGGGGGGTGGCGTAGAGGTGAGACTGGGTCCAAATTCAGCCCCCAGCTGCACCGAGATGAGCTTTCTGGAAATATGTCCCTAGAGTTTTTTAAATGGGACTTGATTTCTTTTTAAAAATAGACTTGTCTCAGCATGGAGGAATCTGGATAGAATTAATGTCCCAGCTAGTGTAAAATGCCCCCTGTGGCGACGCGTTAGGGGTGCCTGTGCCTGGCCTTGAGTGCCTGGCTTCCACCCCCTATTCTGTTCATCCTTCAGCCAGGCAGACACCCTGCACCGGGAAACACTTGCTGTCTTTGGAACCACCACCCTGTGGTCCTATCAGAATGCCAAACTGTCTCCTGCACCTGCAGTGGGAACCTCGGAGCTTACTCTTGGGTAGTATTCCCAGTAGCCCTTCAACTCTGAGAAAACTGGTTGATCCCTGGGCAGACAGACTTTAATAGCATGCCCCGAGTAAGGGTTTCTTTCCCCGGTGTCTGGTATCTGGGTGGCACTTAGATATCCATTTACCCAACAGACATTTACAAAGTATCTTTTATTGGCTCCCTGCACTGGGCTGTTTGCTCTGCTCACTGGTGGAGTTCGTTTGAGGAGGTGTAGTTCCTGCAGCTGTTCATACCCATTACCTCTAGCAGTGAAGTATGCGGCTGTAACCTCTGCGAGGTTCCCATTGCTGTCAGCAGAGTGGCCTGATAAGAAAGGGTGCTGAGTAGATCTGATTCATCCATGCTGAGAACTTCTTCCCCCACACCTGCCCCTCCCTCTGCAAACGGCTCAGCCTGCCACCTAAGCGCCAGAGTCATAAACCTAGATTTTTCTCTCTACTTCCTAGCACTCTCAATCCAGCCAGAGGCTGTAATTGCTGCTCCCCAACAAGTCTCAGAGCCACCCTCTCCAAGGCTAAGGCAGATCCTGCCATCCATTTCTTGGGCCAATATGGGAGCCTCTGACAAATCCCCCAGCTTCCTGTCCTGTTCTGGCCCTCTTCCAATCAATCCTTCCCTACTCTGTAAGGCAGAGTACCAGCAATGCAGGTCTGATCAGGTGATTGCCATACTCACAGCATCCTTAAACAGCCTGCAGTGGCTTTCTCCACTTTTGGGATACAGACCTCACATCTGAAGGGACCCAAAGTTTTGCAGAGCCCACTCCTTGACTTTTGACTCCCTACGTCATCCTTCTTTTCACCCTACTGGTTGGTTTTCAACCCTTAGACCTATCCTGTTCCCTCCCATGCCTGGGTTGGGTCTCCCAGTGGAACATCTCTAGTGCCGGCTCTCAACTCTTTCCTACCTCCTCCACATCCCTACTTTATCCACAAAGTATCGTTTCCCGGAAGGAGTCTCACGTCCCTGGCTTCTTTATTACCATATGTTTCCACTTTTGATCATATACTTCATGGGATCAGGGACCATGCCTACCTTGTCATGTAGTGCTCCCTCACCCCCACCCCCAGATTAGGTTATCGAATTAGCATAGCGTCTGGTGCAGAAGGGTGTTACAGAGCTTTGTGAATGAATGAGGCTGTGGAACTGAAGGAAATTGACTTACGAGTCTGCGATTAGCTACATTTTGTCTAAATTGTCCCTTAGGAATCTTGTAAAACGGCAACATTGTTCCACTCTTTCAGGTAATTCTAAAGGTAGTTTGTTACATGTTTCTGAGTGGGCAGGATCCTTCAGGGGCAGGTCTCTAAACTATGTAGCTGAGGATGACCTTGAATATCTGCTCCTCCCCTCTACCTCCTTGCCTGGGCCCAGCCATCTTCATCTGGGTCCTGTGTCCTGTTCTCAGTGTCTGGCACCCAGCAGACATCTAATGACTGCTGATAGTAGCCTGCACTGGCCAGGCAGGTGTCTGCAGGCAGTGGATCACAAACCACTATCCCCAGCACACTCAGATCCCAGCCTTGTCTCAGTCATGCCCTGTAGTCCCTCCCACCCACTATTGTCCTCACGTTTACCATGTAGTCGAGGTTGACACTGAAGTTCTGATCCTCCATCCCTGTAGTGCAGGGATGACAGGCATTCAGCACCGCACCCAGTTTTCTGGGGTGCTGGGGGCCGAGCTCAAGGCCTTGTGTGTGCTAGGCAAACATTCTACCAACTGAGCTATACAGCTATACAGCACTAGTCTGAGTGCTTTCTGTAGGATTGGGAACTGAGGTCTTCCTTTCTTTCTGGAAGCCCTTCCCTGCTCAAAGTTCTCTCTATGAAGGGAGGTAGGCAGAGGGGCAGCACTGAGCAGGATAAAGAGCACGGAGAAAGGGTGGTGGATGGGTTTTATCTATGGCTATTTTTCCATCTATAAGATGATGGTGGTGGCCAAGTGTGCCTTCCCTGTCCTGCATACTGGCTTATGAAAATTTTACAGCCCTTTGTGACAGCTAAAGTGTCTTCTAGTTTTCAGGTGAGAAGTTGCAGTTCACAGGTTCAATGACTTCCGGGGCAGGCTAGCTCCAGAGTTCAACTTTTCCTTTTTTCTTTTTCCTTTTTCTTCCATGCATTAATGCTTTATGGCCTTCTAAAGCAAACAAGAAAGAGATCCAATTAGTTAGGTGGGCACTTTGCATGGCTGTGATCCTGTGGGTAGGATAAAGGTACTTATATCAGGGAGATCTGCTTATGTCAGTATTCCTTATTCTGCAGGTTTTCAACCACAAAACCAGAGCCTTTCATCTTTTAACTCCTGGCTACCCACCATTCAACTTCGGCTTTGCTAATTAAAGCCGACTCGCTTCACCTTTATTCTTCCCCAGTCACAGCCAACACTTTGCTTTGAAGCAAACCTGAACATTCTGTCATTTCATTTACTAAGTAGTTAGTGAGTGTATCAAAAAATAAGGGCATGTGTGTGTGTGTTTTACATCTGTGTTCCCCTGTGTGTGGAGAACAGAGCAAAACCTTCAGCTGTATTCTTCAGGTACCACACCCAGCTTGGACTGTTTTACAAACTGAAAAAAAAAAAATGCTCTTAGATTTACAGAAATTAGAACAAAGAATTCCTGGAGAGCTCTCACACAAGGTCCTCTAATATCTCAGAGAGTTATGGTACATTTGTCAAAAATAAGAAATCAAAATTGGTGCCTGGAGAGATGAGATGGTATGGCAGTTAAGAGTACTTGCTGGTCTTGCAGAAGGACCCAAGTTCAGTTCCCAGCACCCATGTTAGGAGGGTGGCACGCAGAGCCTGTAACTTCAGGGGATCTGGAACCCTTTTCTGGCTCCTGTGGGCCCCCACACACATGTGTGGCACACACAGAATTAAAGTAAATAAATAGGTGGGTGAGGTGGTGCATGTCTTTAATCCCACCACTTTCAAGGCAGGGGCGTGTGGATCTCTGAGTCTCTGGCCAGTCTGGTCTACAAAGCATGTTCCAGGACAGTCAAGGCTATTACACAGAGAAGCCCTGTCTTGAAACCACTCCCCACAAGAGTAAAATAAAAAGAAAACCCCAAAATCTATTTAACATATGAATAATAATAAAAATAAATAAATAAAAATCAGCACATTCCAGGCTGAATCGTACTTTTTATTTTTTATGTTAATGTCTCTTTCTGTTCCTAGGTTCCAGGTTGCTTTTGGGTTGCATGTCTTTTTATTATCCTTTGGTCTGAGTTTCTCAGACTTTTCTTCAGTTTTTGACCTTGACAATGTTGGGGAGAACTGGTGGAACATTTTTGTAGCATATCTTCAGTTTGGGTGCACCTAGTGCTTTCCACATGGATAGACAGAGCTGCAGGCTTTGAGGGAAGCGTGTCCAGAAGTGAATGTCCACATTGCAGCATGTTACAGGGGCTGGAAAGAGAGCATACACATGGTCATCCAGAGGACCTGAGTTCAGCTTGCTCAGTGGTTACCAGCCCCTGCATCAGGGTACTCAGCTGCTGATAGCTGCAGCTTCAGGGGAA